TCTTTCACCTTGTGCGCCCCGAGTGTATGACTGTAAGTGTATGGTACTAGCCGCTCGCTCGACCGGTGCCTATATACGATTGTAAAGGCACCGAAGCACGTGGCCCGCACCACCCCGCTTTCGGTCAATCCCGACGCAACTCCCACCACCATTCTGTCTGTCTGTTTGTCTCTCACTCTCTCTCTCTCTCTCTCTTTCTCTCTCTCTCCCCCTCTCTCTCTCACTCACTCACTCACTCCTCTTTTGCCCTTCCACGCTTACTCGATGTCTTCTTATCTCTTCTTCGCTTCTTTACACTCTTCTCTTCACTTCTTCGTCTTCTGCCTGCCTCCTCTACCATCTCCTTCTTCTCCACCTTCTCCTCCTCCTCCTCCTCCTCCTCCTCCTCCTCCTTCTCTTCCTCCTTCTCCTTCTTCTCTTCCTCCTCCTTCTCCCCCTTCCTCTCCTCTTCTACGTCACCTTCTTCTCCGCCCACCCCTCCGATCCAGTAGAATCTTTTCCCTCCACCCTCCGCACGGGCCACCACTCGTGCTTCGTTACTCCACGACTCATTCATAACTAGCCGTGGCGCGAACCGCACAACTACCCCACTCCAACTGGCTTACCCCCACTCTAACGGCGCCCGTAGTAGGAGCCCGAGCGTCCACCGGTTGAAGCACGATGCCGACTCATGATCGAGCCGTCGTGGGCTCAACGTCCCGTTCATATTCCTTTTATCCTTAATGCAAGGATATATTGTTATAAAGAAACAGTACTTTTTTATTTTTTTTTATTTTTTTTTTTTTGCCCTTGCTATAACTTTTCCTTTAGGTTTTCACACCATGTTCATATCTCATTTATCCTTACAGATCGATGAGTCAAGTTTTGTTACAAGAATACGAACAACTTTTCTTCCTACTTCCTTGTTTCGTAGTTCCTTCCTAAGATCTTCTAAACGTCATTATGTTATTGCATAAGGGAAAACTCTGACGATGATAATGATAATGATGATGATGATGATGATGATGACACACACCTAACTCGAAATTACAACACGTTTCTTATACCTGTATATCTTTCTCTTTTTAATTCACACGTCGTGAATCAGTCTGTTCTCTCTTTCTCTTTTTGAAGGAAACTCCGATCTTCGACGAAGACATTAATTTATTATTTATCTTTCTTCTTTCCAATGAAAACTCGATCGTTTGATGAACCTAGATGACGAAGATGATTTAAATAAGAAAAAAAAAAAAAAGAAAAAAAAAGGAAAAAAAGAAAAAACAGAAAAAAACTTGACTTTGTCTGGTATACATAGCAATGTGCGCACGTGCTCTGTGCGGCTCCTCGTAAGTAAGTAAGTACGTATGTTTCCTTGCGTTAGACATAACACCGACGTACGACGCTAATAATAGTGACGATGACGATAATAGTAATAATTAACGCGTCTCGGGCACTCGATGCGCTCGATGGTGTCGATTCGTTCTCTAGTCGTCGTCGTCGTCGTCGTCGTCGTCGTCGTCGTCGTCGTTATTGGAAGATTAATTGCATGCAAGTCTTTATGGTAATAACGAGCATACGCGACAGAAACCACAATTAAAATGGCAATGACAATGATGATGATGATGATAATGATGATGATGATGATGATGGTGATGATGATGATGATAACAACGACAATGACGATGACGATCAATACCGTTTACGACAATTCGTTCGTAAAGTGAAAAAAAGGCAAGCTAATAGTAACATTTTCATTATCGTCCGAGAGCGTAACGTTAAGATTGCGTAATTTCGAGCACGTTTCTTAAGAGCGACAGCGACTTTAAATGAATTCATGAATCTTTTTTTTTTCTTTCTTTTTTTTTTCTTTTTTTTTTTTTACACCGATCGTCCTCCATCGATACAACCGATCATTAACGTTTTCGTTTCGCAAAGATAATATTATATTATATCGATCAAACGTAATCGTTAATTATCAATGACGGAATATTACACAATCAAAATCATTTATATGCCAGGGATTTTCTAGTTAGATAAATAGATGGATAATAATTAGATAGATTTTCATTCATAAAAATTCATCGATAATTTCGAGCATTAATAGAAAAAAAAAAAAAGAAAAAAAGAAAAAAAAAAGAAAAAAAAAAGAAAAAAAAGATATCCCCTCCTCATACAACTCTGAATGTCTTCGATCGTTTGAAGATCATCGAGTCATCGTTTTTTCTTTTTTTTTTTTTTTTTTTTTTTTTTTTTTTTTTTTTTTTTTTTTTTTTTTAAATGCAAATCCTACAAATATATCCCCTATAACGCTTTGAAAATCTCATCAGGAGTGATCACCGTTGACTACTCCCAAACCCACCCTTCCCCCTCCATTACCATCACCACCACTGTTCCTTTCCCGATCCCTTCTCTCGTTTTCTCCTCCTCTCGTACTACACGATGACGTTCCCTTTCATTGCCTCCACCCCACCTCCTCCCTGCCGTGTCTCACGTACCTCTATCGGCAAGTTTCAGGAGGAGAACGGCGATTCATCGAAGTCGCACGACGAGACGAGACACGAGCCTTCCCTTCCTTCCGTCTTAACTAAGTACTTACTTCCGAAAGGATCCAACGGATGGAAATTTTTCGTGGCGCCGGTGACTCCGACGGAAGAAATACTTCGGAGATAAAGTCTCTACCTTCTGGCGGTTTAACACGAGCCAAACGTATATACGTATAACGTGTGTCCTATGTATGATGTACGTGCATGTGTGATAACGCGCCCGCGCGCGTGCCCGCACGGATAGATTACAAATGAACGATGGAAAATTAAAGCGTGCCGCTCGTTACGTTCTTTCGCCTTTCGTCGTCGTTCCTTTTATAATTTATGACTTTCAAAATTTAAAGATTTTAAGAACAAAACGACGCATACACAAATCATTCTATGAAATAAATCGAAATTATAAATGAACGTTCTAAGTTCGATCAAGATCATCTATCGTACGTTTTTTTTTTTTTTTCAAGGATCACGTAAAAATTTTGTAAAAAAAAAAAAAAAAAAATAAAAAAAAAAGATCTACGATATTATTTAATTATTACGAGAGAAATTATATCGATTTGTAAAATTAATTAAGAAAAATAATATTCTAATTAATGAAAAATAATTTATTATATTAATAATAAAAGTTAGTGCGAAACGTAGATATGATCTATCTATTGAAATATCAAGATATTAGAAATGTAAAAGAAAGCGTGATCTTTAAAGGAAAAAGGAGATTGAATTTGCAAACTGAATTACATCAGCTTTCATCTAACAGGAAGGAACGCCTGTTGATTTCGTCACGAAGAAGTAACGGGTTTTTGGATTTCGATGTCGCTACGATTGCAACAAACGACGCAATACGACGCAATACGTTCGATTGTCATCGATTTTTTATCGACAATCTTTCGAGTATCTCGAATTCATTTTTTCCTTCAAATTTTGCGAACTAACAACGGCTTCTCTCTTTCTCCTGTCGTGCGATACTGATTTACGAATATGTGGGCGAATCGCGAGACAATTCTCTTTTTTCGTTTCTATATGATCGAAGATCTTTCCAATGACTTACAAGAATTTTCGTAACAGTTACATCACGATCGAAAGGAAATTACGAAATGATTTCGAATGATGAATATCACATTGACTTAACTAATTCGGTTATACGTTTCGATATGTCACGATTGTTTTTTTCTTTTTTTCTCTTTCTTTTTTTTCTTATTTTTTTTTGGGGGGGGGGTCAAGTTCACCAGAAATATACGAGAATGAGAATAAAAAAATTCACCTGTCTCCTTCTTTACCGATGTTACGAGCGCGTGCGAATCTTGCGATTAAATACAATGTAAGTTTTTAAAGAAGAAAAAGAAAAAATAAATAAATAAATAAATAAAATGAAGAACTGAATCGACAAAAGGATATTACAATTTGTAAGCATTATTTTTCAGATTCTTAAAAGATTTTATACGAAATTGGATTCTCATGCGTTAATTGTGATTCACACCGAGACAATATCACCTTCTTTCTTATTTTTATAATCTCTTTGTCTCATCCCTTATAAAATATAAAATATAAAATATAAAATACAATTATAAAATATACAAGTAACCGTTACTTAAAAAAGAAAATAAAGACTCCGATAATTTTATTACTCGAGAACGTCGGACCTTGTAACGCTAGAATCTTATCTTCTTTAAATAAAAATTTCATTAATCCTTTGTGTTCACATTATTAAAAAAAAAAAAAAAAAAAAAAAAAAAAATATATATATATATATTGCTTACCGTTACGTTTCCGTGTTCAGTCTCGACAGAAAATTCACAAGGATATACTTTATTACTTTTAATTGTAATCTTAATTAATTTAATTGGTCATAAATAAATGTATTACATTAAGGTATTTCAATCGGATTACGAGAAATGATTAGATAGTAAATAGATCGGAGTAAAGTTTTCAAGTTAATCGTGTGTTATGATTATCGAGGTTTTGAAAAAGGTCATCGAGGAAGATTTTCTGCAGGTAGAACACAAAAAGGAAAAAAGAAAGGACACGGAAATACAATGAAGGTTGACAGATTTACGAGTGTTTTCTTTCTAAGTTAAACGTTCTCTTTATTACTCGACATTCCGAAGGCTGCTATATTGACAAAAGTAATCGACTCATATTGTCATATCCTAACTCGACATAAAAAATAATAAAATATTTGAATACAATTGTTTGACAACATATAATCGTGTTAAATCATTAAACTGTTCTTTTAATCCTATTACGAATTAATTCGTTGTTCGTGACTGTTATTATTATTATTAATATTTTAGATGGACCGGAAAGTAATGTCATTTCTGCGCATATCGATATTTGATTGTTATTAAAAATAAAAACTTGTTAAAAATTTATTCGTTTGAAAAATAATTTAAGAAAGCGACATTACTTTCCGGTCCAACTAATATTATTATTATTATTATTATTATTATTATTATTATTATTATTATTATTATTGTTGTCGTTATCGTTGTCGCCGTCGTTATCCGTTGTTATTGTTGTTTTTGTTGTTGTTGTTGTTGTTGTTGTTATTATTACTCTTATAAATATCAATATAATATTTTCATGATAATAATTCGATCACGTGTCAAGCGTTCCTGACATTACGCGTTCTCGCTTAAAACATAACAAACCAGCGATGCGCGACTATCTGCGAAAAAAAAGGAAAAAGGAAAAAAAAAAAAGAAAAAAGATAAAGAAAAATTAATAGCACTTAATTTTCCACAGTAAGATTCTTCGGACGAATCACGTGGAACATGGACGCTGATAAAGAAGAACTTGAAACTTGATCGTGTCACGTTGCGTCAAAGCCGAAGGAAGAAAAAAAAAAAAAAAAATAATAGGATGGTCAACAATCGAATCAGAGCAAATTATATGCTATGAAAATTATTCCCTTCGATTATTCTTTTATTTATTCATTTTTTTTTTCTCTTTCTCTCTTTCTTCGCCATAGTAAATAGAAAATCATCGTACAGAACCTATCGTAAAATATTACTATTGAAAGTTGTTCCAACTTTCATTCCGACGATCTATACTTTATTGTATTATTAAATACGTCGAACGGAATCTCATAATATCTTCTGCGAAAAAACGTGAGCTTTCGAACGAAATAGTCACGAAGATATGCAAGAGAGAATTATCAAAATTCGATTTGAAAACCTGTACGCGCTATGCGCCTTTCCGAGTATGCGATATAAAATTCGCGGATATCCCAGGAAAGTAACGTAGCCTTGAAACTATAAAAAAAAAAAAAAAAGAAAAGTAAAAGGAAAAGAAAAGAAAGAAAGAAAACAAAAACGAGAAGGATAAAAAAAGTTCGTGTAAAATCATAACGATTCCTCCGTTTTTTTTTTCTTTCTTTCATTCTTCTTTTTTCCTTTTCTTTTTTGCCCTCTTTAGAATTTTACATAACTCAAACGAAGTTAATTTCCTCTTTATCTCACCATCACCACCACCACCACCCCTCCGCCTGGCCCACCGTGAAGCTCTCCGAGTGTCAAAAATTTCTTCCTTTGTTACGAAAAATTTTACACGAGTAGTAATGATTAAGTGGTGACTAGCCGAATTTACGAGGAAAACGTACGCACTCGCGTGCCGAAGAAAAAATAAGAATAGAAATGAAGGAAGGAAGAAAGAGAGAGAGAGAGAGAGAGAGAGAGAGAGAGAGAGAGAGAGAGAGAGAGAGAGAGAGAGAGACAGGGGGAAAAAACTGGAGCGAGTTCAAATTAATGAGTCAACTCGATTATCGTTTCGCGCGAAAACCAACTGTTTTTCGTACGAAACCCGAAATACGAGAGGCAATGAGAGGAAGAGAGAGAGATAGAGAGAGAGAGAGAGAGATAGAGAGAGATAGAGATAGATAGAGAGCAGGAAGCAAACAAATAAGCATGTGACGAATGACGGTTCTCGTTCTTTTCGCGAGATTGACACATAGAACATTTTTATTTATGTAAATTGATCTACTTTCATGACCGTACTCGTCCATTACGCTCGTGTAATCATACATCAACACACATAATACTCGTCATCACAAACGATAATCGTTTCGATGAAAATGCATCAGTAGAATCCTTAGAATCTGATATAACACTTCCATGCGATGTATTAATGTACGTATAGATAATGCGCTTGACGAAAATGATTTGTCCATTTATCGGGAGTACTCTCTTTTTCTTTTCTCTTTTCTCTTTTTTTTTTTCTTTTTTTTTTCTTTTTTTTTATGTTTCTTTTTCTTAAGAAGAGGAAAACGAAAAACAAAAAGAAAAAGAAGAACAACGAAAAGAAGATAAAAGAAAAATGTTAAAACAAAATTTGCAAAATTCGTACCTCCACAAACTTGTCACTTTCATATTCACCGTGAGTTTTTATCGTTTCTTAGAAATTTAGGTAAAAATTGATTAGAATGTATCGATGTACTTTGCGGAGAAGAAGAACTCTCGATGCAACCAACACACGCACGTTCTATCTCGTAAACGTGATGCTCGTTAAAACGTTAAAGAAGACGTGCAAGATTTACAAGATCGCTAGCTTCGCGTATGTACATTAGTCATTCGATACAATGACTCATGAGGATCGTGTCGACTCTCTCTCTCTCTCTCTCTCTCTCTCTCTCTCTCTTCTTCTCTCTCTCTCTCTCTCTCTCAGGTTCGGCGCATTGATCGCTTTTATTTAATCTCATAACACGCAAATTATATTCCTGCCCCCCCCTCCACTCCTTCCCTCCAACCCATTGAGTCCTACGTAAAATCCAAAAATATAGGATCACTATAGAAGAGTGCGATAAGAAACGAAATCGACAAATAAACACCGAAATATTATCGATTATAATCGAGCGAACGCGAGACGTCTTTTATCGTTTTTTGGAGGACTTCAAAAAAAAAAAAAAAAAAAAAAAAACAAAAAGGGGAAAAAAAACAGAAATAAAAAAAGAAAGAAAAAGGAGAAGCATTGCGAATATATAGATATATATATATATATATACGTATATATATATATATATATATATATATATATATATATATATATATAACGTGAAATATCGGAGAAAAGAAATTTCTTTGAATTACGTTTAAAAGTTTATCGAAAAGAAACGAGTTCGTTGCACTTCTCTCAAAAGAGAAGAAGGTCCAAAACGTTCGATATTCCTTTTGTCGTTGTCAACTCGTAACCGGTCGCCGATCCTGACGAAGCCAGTATTACGCGATCGAATTCGAGCCGCGTATCGATGCATCGTATCCTAAAGAAAAACGAACGTTTAACCGAACGTCCAAAGTGGAAAAGGTCTGAGGGACAATTTTTCGAATGGAGAAAGAGAGAAAGAGGGAGAATAATTATCGATTCGTGTGGTCCTCCTCGCGATCGCGAGCTCGCAAGAAGCGGATAGAGACATCGGGCGCATTCCAATGGTACGGGAGGCACGCGGACGACGTCGATGCTAGTCGAGAAGAAAGAAAAAGAAAGAAAGAGAGAGATAGAAATAGACAGAGAGAGAGAGAGAGAGAGAGAGAGAGAGAGAGAGAGAAAGCATCTTCCTTTTATCTCTCTTCGCCACCCTCTCCTCTTTCGGAACCGGAGGACCACCCAGGACCAACCGATCCTCCTTCTCTCGCTCGAAGCGATATTCGATGCAAGTCTTTAAAGCGAGAATGAGAAACTAAAGAGAAACGAAAAGTAAAGAGGAAAAAAAAAGGGAAAAGAAAAGAAAAGAAAAGAAAAGAAAAAAAAAAGAAAAAGAAAAAATAAGGAATAATCACGGAAGGACTCTTCCTCTGTTTATTATCGAAAAAGCATTCTATGCGCCGATCTTATGTGCGTACTTAAAAAGTATCCATATACTTTTTGCCCGATTGGATTATTTGCCCGATGATTTGGAGGCTTCGAAGGAAAAAAAAAAAAAAAGCAAAAAAAAAACAGGAGAGAAAAAGGGGGAGAAAAAAAAAGAAGAAAGAATGAAAGAGAGGAAAATCTCTAACGTAAAAAATATTTTTTTATCGGTATCGTGGCTCGTGTGAAAAGTGACTTACCAAAGATAGAACGTATTGACATCGAGAAGGCTTTGAACGAGGAATTGACGAGCGCGCGTGATCAGCGTTCATTCGGTTCGAAGCTTTGCGAGAATATCGGGAGATCAAATTCTTCAAAGTCATGGAAGGGAAGATAACTTTAGACAATTTTTAAGGTAAAAACGATAACAGGACCCAACACCATTCGTCAATTATCCCGTTATATCCCACCGAGATAACGTAATATATAGATGATATCGTGAAAATAATTGACATGCCACAACGTCGATCTAAAAAAAAAAAAACTTGTCCTCGATACAACGACGAAGTTATGAACCGTCTCCGAAGGTTAGATTAGTCAACGAGCATGAAGAGGTTTACGAGGAGGGAAAGACAAAAGACTATGAACACCTTGTTTCTTCAGATTGGGGTGGCAACGAGATTTCGTACGATATATACCGGGTGTTCGCATGATTCATCTCACCATGTCGTATCGTATTAATACGATCAAACGATGAAAGGAATCGAAATGTCCTTTTTTTTTTTCTCGATTTCTTCCTTCTTTTACTTTTACTCGTTTTTCTTTTTCCTTTCCTTTTTTTTCGTCCTTTTTTTTCTCTTTTCATTCTTTTTTCTCTTTATTTTTTTTTTCTTTTTTTTTTTTTTTTTTTTTTTTAAAGGAAGCCCTTTTAAAATGACATCCAACGTATTTGTACGTGATATCGTAAGCAAATTTCTCGATACATTATTCTGAATCACCTGAGCTATTGGTATACACACATCGGCAAGGACGTCTGGTTGTTGACATCTTTCATTGTAAATACTCGTGATCGTCCTTTCAGAAACTTCTACTACATCGTGCAACAAAAAATATCGATCCCGGCATCTTCGTCGCTCATGTCATTTATAATAAAAACATATACTTACACGTGTATATATATATATATATATATATATATATATATATATATGTATATATATATACATTCTCATATACAGTTACATACGTAATTACAGTTTTACGAATAATGTTTTCTTCGTACGATACGATTATATGTATGAAAAAAAAAAAAAAAATAAAAGAAAAATAAAAGAAAAAAGATAAAAGAAAAAAATGAAAAAGAAGAAGAAAAAAAAAAAAAGAAAAACATAAGAACGAACACAAAAAAGAAAATATGTATGAAGTACGTATCTAACTTACAGGTGATATCCCAAGATGAACCATCGTGTAGAATCTCGAACGAGTTCCACGCCATGAAACGTTACACGTATCACGTACAAACATTTCACTCGACGTTGTACGTTCAACGTTCATTCAATTTCGTTCGGCCGAGAGAATTCGTTCAGAATCGAGAAATTCGTTCGTTTCGATAACGTAAGATCACCATAAATCTTTCGCGAACGATCGAACACTTCAACGAGCCACGAATACTTCATCACGGATTTTGACGCAGTTACTATCATCGAGACGAACACAATTACTACTATCAGGTGGCAGCACCAGATTCGTCGCTATTACTCGCATACATATTCTATTTTTACTTTCTATCACTATACATATTCTTTCTTTCTCTCTTTCTCTCTTTCTCCCTCTCTCTCTCTCTCTCTCTCTTTTTGTCTTTCTAAGATTTATCGAAATTGAAAAATAACATTTAGCAAAATGACATAAATCTATTTTCCTCATTTTAATTGACCATTATCGTTATCTATAATGAGATAAGTATAATATTATTCATTGATTTTCATTTGGATTAATTTATAATTGAATATAATCGAGTAAATTTTCCTCATCCTTTTAGATCCTCGTTTTAGCACCAATAGAAGAATATCTCTCCAAAATATATACCCACTTGATTAAATCCAATCTCTCTCTCTCTCTCTCTCTCTCTCTCTCTCTCTCTCTCTCTCTCTCTCTTTCTATGTGTGGTGTGGAGTAACCGGAAGTCTGTCCTTGAACGTAGGCCGCTAACCGTTATCGGTCAAAAAGTTCGTGCTAATCCAAGCAGAAGGATCAGAGAGAGGTTCGACGACACGAACACTAAGACGCAACGCATTCGAACTAATTTTAGTTGCTCTCTCGCGATCGGGATCCATCGGGCTTTGCCATGCCAAGAAAGGGAAGAAAGAAAAAAGATGAGAAATGGAATGCTTTAATAAGATCGAGCAAAGCTTTGATTCACACGCTACTCCTCGCAAGATGTTGCCTCTGCACAGCTATCGTTACTTCTCTCTCTTTCTCTCTCTTCTCTCTCTCTTCTCTCTCTCTCTCTCACTCTTCTCTCTCTCTCTCTCTCTCTCTCTTTCAGATTCGTTATTATTTTTAGCATGTGATCGACTCGACTGCAACTCGAGTTTTATGAGTTTGCAACGGAGAGGTGATATTCTCTAACGAAGAATACCGAAGAAAAGAAACGATAGAGACTATGCCGTACATTAGGTCATCTCGCTGTTATACAGGCTTGGCGCGCATAATGATCGACCATTCTGTCACCAAAGGCCGATCCGAAGTGTCGATCCTTTTACACTCGACACCTATATACCGCACCTTCTTTAGTCGGTACTCATCGAAATGGTATGCCAAATATAACTGAACCAATGAAATATTTATCTACTTGGATCTTTCAAAAGTTTATTTTTTTTCAAATAGATTTAATAATTTAATCCCGTATAAGTATTAAATCTAAATAATCTCGAGGGTATAATAGTGATCGTAATCGAGCTTAATTAAATTAACGAAATTTATTAATTTCTCAAGAATTTATAATCTTCTTCTTCTTCTTCTTCTTCTTCTTCTTCTTGGAAAAATCAATGATATTCGTACTCCTCGCGACACTTTATCATTTTTTTTTACTCGTCGTTTCGTCCCAAACGACAAAATCTTAGATAAAATTTCTTATTATCTGCACGTGCTACGTCACGTGTAGCTTAATCGTTCTCTCAAGAGAATCATCCGGTAGACGATCCTATCTATCGGAAGTATGATGATATAATATCTGTTATTGTAATTAAATAACAATTTATAAGTACCTCCGTGTGTGTTTATAAACACGCACATACGCACATATATATATATATATTTTTTTTTTATTTTTTTATTTTTTTCAATTATTAAACATTAAGTATTTTATTATAATTTTAACCATAATCATTTGTTAATGTTAATTACTTTTCTTCGAGTATCGATCAGTCAAAGATTATCGATCGTTGACAAGAAAATTTACAAAGATAGTGACACATACGGAAACTCCTGACACACGGATATCGTCGTTAAATAATCCCTGTTCATTTCAATATACGAGGAAAGATGACTTCTTAATGTATGCAACATGCGTATGCAACATGCGTATGCAACATTATGGTCTATCATCGGAAAATAAAGAATACGTACATATATATACATACGTACATACATACATACACGTAAAAAGTACAGGAACACCGTGTCGATAATGCGGCATCCACGTCAAAAGAAAAAAGAAAAAAAAGAAAAAAAAAAAAAAAAAAAAGAAGAAAAATCTACAAATGCGTATCTGGTTCATCATCTAATGTGAGAATAACGAGGAAGGTCATCGATGACTTGTACGTTATTGTCGAGATGATGACTCTTATGTCTGTTTCTAAGGGTCAATGGAAATAAACCTCGTCGTCTGGACAATATCCTCTTTTATTCAAAATTCTTTCCAAGAAGACTATATGAGAGAAAAGTCTTGAAAGACCGATCATCAGTTTCCGTCCGTCTGCCGCGGATAGATCACGCGTGCGTCATTACAACGCGGATACGATACCAGCAAAACTAGAACTACAGATCTTGGATGGTCCATTAAGAAATATGACAATAACGAAGTATAATCCTTTCGAAACTGAGATCTCTTTCGTTTTCTTTACCGAACTACGTATCTAATCTAACTGATTGTATGCAAAGAAACGTGCGCTTCCTATTTTTAGAGAATGATTTTCTACTGCGTCATTATTTTTGTTGCGAAGGAATCACCGAGCGTATTGCATTACGTCAATGCGAGCAGAAAATATTCAAAGATTTATTGCGAAATGATAATGGGAAAAATCGTGTACTCCTTGGACGATACAAAGGGCAGTCGAATAGTTTAGCTAAAGAAAGAGAGATAGAGATAGACAGAAAGAAAGAAAAAAAGAAAGAAAGAAAGAAAGAGAAAGAGAGAGAAAAAGAGAGAGAGAGAGAGAGAGAGAGAGAGAGAAAGAACGAAAAGCCTTCTCACGAGATGCGATGTACCATTGTCGTTTTCTAACGTTCCAACCGCTAATGGTCTGAGACGTTCATTACGCGTCCGTGACTGTCAGGCTCGACGCGAGAGAGGCATTGACGAAGAGATCAATCGACATCAAGGCAAACGACTCCGCGATCAAAACATTGCTAATGGGCCTGCACGCAGCGCGTACTCTCTAATCAACAAGCTTGACTTTGATGTCACGTACGATAATGGCCTTTCGCCTTTTCTTCCAGCATACTTTCCTTAACCGCTTCGATTGTTTCTTATTTGTTTGCCGGTCGTTAGGATACAAAGCGTTAGACTTTTAATCCTAATCGCATACCAAAATTCAAATCTTTCAAGTCGATCGACATTACGTTTATATTATAATTAACAATGGGAGTATAAATTTGTGAATTTTTTTTTTACTCAGATTAAACAATTTTCGTCGTAAAAAGAAAAAAAGAAAAGAAAAAAAAAAAAGAAATCAGACAAGTTCCCGTTAGCAATCGATATTTAATATTTATTTAATTATGTAAGAGTATATATATATATATATATATATATATATATATATATATATGTTATATGAAATACGTTTCATTCGTGTATAATATTAATAATACAGTTAGTAAAATCCGGTAAACCCAAAAGGAAAGTAGAAATTCTTCGAGTACGAATCGATATTCGTTCGTGAGATTTTACTCCAGTGACGATGTTCACCCACGCGCGAATTACCATGGCCTAACGTCATAAGTGCTACGTCATTCGTTTCTTGGATTTCTGTTAAATGCTGTAAGTAGGTAAGTGCAATATCGTTTTTTTTTTTTTTTCTTTTTTTTTAAAGTAATCCCCGTTTCTCAATCTCTTATATCTTTTCCTTCGTATCCTTATTCCTTCAAAAAAAAAAAAAAGGATGATTCTACCAAATCGTCATACGAATAGATTTCCTTTTTCATATCGATCTCACGATATTTCAATTATTCATCATAAAATATACGGATTTGAGATATATAACGTAATTCATTGATATTCAATTCGTATTTAAGAACTTAATGTCGCGTATTGTCACGTGACAAATTCTGTTCGATTAAATATGATATCGATGGAAAACGTTATTTACGTAAATCATTTTAATATATAATGATAAGACGAAGAAATTGTTATGGAAAAAAAAAAAAAGAAAAATAGAGATAAAAGGTAAAAGATAATAATTTGACTTACCAGCTCGCTCAAACGAGGAACCAGGATATCTGTATTATTGGCTGTTTATCGATGGAAACCTTTCCTCCTCTTTGAATTCGGATTCTGTAACAATAAAAGGAAGAGGAAAATCAGGACGAGTTTTCCTCTATACGATCATCCAGTCAAACGCGCAATGTCTTTTTTTTTTTTTCTTTTTTTCTTTTTTTTTTTTTTTTTTTATTCGTGTATTTAATCTGTCATATTGTCCGGAAGATATTTTAAGGATTTATGCAAGCAGTTTTGCAATATACGTATTATCCTGCAATATCCACTCTTTCTGTCTCTCTCTCTCTCTCTCTCCCTCTCTCTCTCTTTCTCTCTCTCTCTCTCTGTCTCTCTCTCTCTCTGAATATTCCTTCGGTTATATCGTCGTTAGATATACGACGTACATACGTCAGGTAAATCAAAGCGAGGCAACGATAAAAAAAAAAAAAAAAAAGAAAAAAGGAAAAAAAAAAGGAAAGAAAAAAAAAACGAGTAAAAAAGAAGCTGTCATCCTTCGAGCACAACATGTATTGTCTCCTCTTAATAATACGCTACGAATCAGCATCTAACCCTCGTGACGAGTATCTTGTGTCCTTCAATTTGCCACTTTCCTTTTTTAAATAAACGGTTTATCATTTTTACCTAGATAGATAGATAGATAGATTGATAGATAGATAGATAGATAGATAGATAGATAGATAGATAGATATATAGATAATTTTATTAACATTTTTATCGAAAGACATTACATGAAACACGTAAGATATTAATAGTAATTGTATATAACGCAATTCTACGAGCATATAAAACGTAGTAATAAAATTAATTTTATTTTTTATTAAAATATACTTCATGTTATATAAATAGAAAAAAAAAAAAGGATAGATAATGAAAATAATCTCAATTAGCATTGAATGGAATATATTAAAAATATGATAAGAAAATGAAAAAAAATACTTAGAAATATTTTCTTTTTTCATTCAATAAAGACAGATAATCAGAAAGAAACATACAGACTGAGAAAAAGAAAAAGAGTGATAGAGTGAGAGAAAGAAAGAGAGAAAGAGAGAGAGAGAGAGAGAGAGTAAGTAGGTATACCTACATCTCATCGAAGCATTCATCTCGTTTCGAAGAAGAAATTTAACGTGAGTGTGCTTCGAAGTATCAGGATACGATAAGAGATACATCTGGCTCGTTCACATCGTTCCAGTTAGCAAGGAAGATTATTGATAAGAGATAGCAGGAGAGTGCCAGCGAGAGACTGTACGGCACCTGCTTTCATTTTCCGAGTAATCGCTCTGGATTTCGCCAGAGTCCGTTGGCATTTGTAAATTCTGCATCCGTTCTTGCTTTCCTGACGACGCATACCGAGAACGAATGAAGGGCTATGTATTATACATATACATATACATATACATATACATATACATATACATATACATATATATACATACACATATACATATACATATACATATACATATATATATACATATACATATACATATATATATATATGTATATACACACACATATATGTATATCTACGTACATATACAAGTATGTATGAATAGTTGAGTGATAGCATCGCGAACATACCGATACGTACCATCGCGAAACGACAGAGTTAGAGAAAGGGTTGGGTTTAAGATGCCGTCGGCAGCGCGTAGAGATCATTTTCTTCCTATGATTCATCGCAATGTCTCCGTCCTTCGGGATCGCATTGGCGAGAATCTCAACGGGGGATCGCACGATATCGCGTTACCCTTCTTTTCGCGTGCACCTGCGAGAGAGCTCTCGTATAAGTATATATACATATATACATATATACATATATATATATATATATATATATATGAATGTATGTATATTTGTATATACATCTATGTGAACATTCTTCGTGAAATTCTTTAAAGAACTTTATATTCTTACGATTCAAATGTTCTTTCCGTTTTTTTTTCTTCTTCTTCTTCTCGTCTAACTTTAAGAATACAAAGGATAAATTCAAAAAAAAAAAAAAAAAGAAAAAAGAAGAAAAAAGAAAAAAAGAGACAAAAAAAAAATTGATAAGACAAAAATATATTTAAAATATAATTGTGATAAGAACATATTCATTCGTATCTAGGACGAATAATTTCCATCAGATAAATTAAATGAAATGAAAATCATCCCTATTCGCATTTGTTATATCCCGCCTTCCTTCGTTCTCCTAACTTCATTATACACTTTACATCTCGTATTTCACTCGTCTCATTCGATAAAACGATTAATTATGAACTGACCGATTTACTGACGATCGATTCACTCGTACGTGAATTCGTTCCATTCAACGTCACGATGATGTTTTCTTAGATCGAATCAGTTGTAGGAAAGTTTCAATATTTACGAATCGATATCATACATTGACGTTTAATATATGACGTTTTATATACTACGTCATCGCGCAAATGTATACAGAACGAGAACAATAATTCCAATTAATTGGCAATAAAACTTCATGTATATATATATATATATATATATACAAATATACATAATTTATATCAAAAACGAGAGGTACGTAACGTAGTTCGATATCCTCGTTAAAAGAAAAACAAATTTTTTACGGAACTGAACATACTTATATGTATATATATATATAATAAAATAAAATAAAAAGAATCGCTGATATCTCTCGGATCGGTTCATCGATCCGATAATTCGATGGAGATCTAATTCGATTGAAATCGAATTAATTACGCGATCCAAGTGTCACACTCTACGTTCTTCGCAGGAGATCGGTTTACGTTAGGCCATGTGTTAACGCTTTTCAATTGATAAGATAGCAAGCCGATCTATCGCTACTACGTGCCATCACAAATCGTATCACGACTCGTACGCTATCCAACATCCGTTTACGCGATATCTCGAGCCTTTATATAAAGCCGATAAGCTCGATACCTCTTTCTCTTGCTTGTGTTAATGTAACCTCCCCTTTTTCATCGTATAAGCGTACTACGATTTACATATTCTCATATCTTTACGATTCACGCGTAACCCAATCACGTTTCCTTTCTTGTCCTTCATTCATTCTGAAAAAGAGAACTTGCAAACTTGCACCGTGCCAATTGTTTGCACTTCTTTGCTTGCATTTCTTTTTTTTCTGTTCTTTTTTCTTCTTCTTGTCTTTTTTTTTTTTTTTCTTTCTTCTTTTTTTTGGTATATAAGTCTTCGATCGATCGCGATTTAAGCGAAAAGAAAATGAAATTAGAGCAAACAAAAAGAAAAAGAAATACGACGAACTCTTCGATAATTAACTGATGATTGTTTATTATCGAATTAAATAAAAAAAAAAAAAAAAAAAAAAAAAAAAAAAAAAGCAAAGATTGAGGTTGTGTTTCAATAACATCATTAATTAAACGATATAACTAATACGTAAATAGAGATATCAGAAGGAAATGGTACTAATTGAGTAAGTCACACTTGCATGTTTAAAAGATAAAGAGGTCATCGATGTAACAATGATGTTATTACAAATAACAATGTTACAAGTAATATGTAAATAAAATCGACTTAATCGTGTAATAATGGAATATACATCTTGTCTGATTATAAAGATTTTACAGAATATAAACATCGTTCGATTTTCATTTCTAAAATATATATATATATATAAATAGATAATAAAGTCGTTTATTTTTGAATGAAAGGAGGACACGCGCATAAGGATATACATTTTCTTTCTTTTTTCTGTTTTTTTTTTTTTTTTCTTTCTTCATCGACTATATAACTCGATATTTCGCACAGACGAGATTGGTATTTCCCGTAAGATTATTTTCCCGAATTATTGACCACGTAAAGGAGAAGTTTCGTAAGGCATCGCGAAATAAGAATGGGAAGGAGACAAAAAAAAATGAAAAAAAAAAAAAAATAAAAAAAAACGAAAAATAAAAGAGAGAGAGAGAAAAAAAAGATAGAAAAGAAAGCGACGAATTACGAATGGTTCGATGAAAAGGAGAGCGTTCGTCGACGACGAACTATAAGAGTTCGTCGTCGAGCAATGCTGAATCATGCTCGATGCGATTCCAGGAACGTTCCATTCATCTCCGAGCAATGTCTCGGCCAACTCTCGAAGGCGGTAGTGAGTCTTGCGGAATCGAAGAACCTGCTTGCGGAAGGAACCGTCCTTTCCCCGTCTTCCTGACCTCATTCCAAGGAGGGTCGTGATTTTGAGGACGCATACTTCCTAATAAAGTCGTTTCGTCGTTTTGCCGTCATTACGTTTTCACGTTGCTTATATGGTATATGGGGGGGGAAAAAAAAAGAAAAAAAAAAAAAAAAAAAGAAGAAGAAAAAAGGAAAGAAAATCAAAGAAAATCAAAGAAAGAAAAGGAAGGAAAGGAAAAATATTCCTAATCCTTCATATTAATCCTTGATAATGAAAAAAAAAAAAAAAAAAAAAAAAAAGGAAGAAAACGATCGAGCACGCGCGTGTTCCTTTTGTTGTACTGATAAAAAAAAAAAAAAAAAAAAAAAAAAAAAAAGAAAAAATTAATTTGAATACCTTTGAAGAAAGTGTATAAGCTTTAAGTCATAAAGTAACTAAATTAGATACCAGAGAGAGAGATTTTTCTTCCTTTTTTTTTTCTTTTTTTTTTTTTTTTTTTTGCCAATAATATTTCTCAGGATTCGCACCTGCGTCAGAAATATGTAAAGAGTGTCGCGTTCGGGAATGGTAACACGTTGTACGCTTACGTATTCTAAAATAATATTTCGTCATTGACGCGATTTAATGTAACCTATCGTGGTATTCCTTTTTTAAAAATTTCATATCGACCGATTTCAGAAATCTAAGAAATAAATGTATATATATATATACGTTTCTGAATCATTGCGATAGAATTCGAATGGATATGAATAGAGAAATCGTGAGACGAGTTTCCCACCTTTATTACTTTGCAAAGTGTACACGCCTTCGAGCACCGTTTTCTCCTTTCTCGTTTCGTCTTCTTCCATTTGTTTTTTTCTTTCTTTCTTTCTTTCTTTTTTTTTTTCCTTTTTTTTCTTTTTTTTGTACTTTCTTTCTTTCTTCCTTTCTAACTTACGAGAGAGAAAGAAGATATTCGATTCCCCCCCTCCCCTAGCCTGCGTAAAATCGAATACCGTTATATCTACTTTTTTTTTTCTTTTTTTTTTTTTCTTTTTTTTTTTTTAGATCGGTCTACCCGATTAAACGGCACGTAGTATCAATTGTAATTGTAAAAAATGTTAAAGGGACACAATTTTATTCGTAATAGTATTTTTTCATGACAATACTATCGTCAATAATATAAAATGTATATAACATTGTACGATAACAGACAATGATGGTGTATTTATATATCGACGACGATGATACCTTGAAAACGATATGGCGCAATCTCGATCGAGAAGCGAAGGTGAATTTCCTCGAAGGAAAATCCTTTTACTCGGATGAGTAAATTACGACAACTGTGGAAACAATTCGTGCCCATTTTTTTTTCCTGGTTTTTTTTTCTTTTTTTTTCGTTTTTTTTTATAAAACCGATCGTCTGGACGTCTTCGTACGTAGCGCGTAAAAGGAACGATCGCATTCGCATACATGAATACCAAATGTTAATGTTCTTCCCCTTGTTGAAAAGGCGGAATGTTGAATCACGAAAAAGAAGGAAAAAGAAAAAAGAAAAGAAAAAAACAAAAGAAAAAAGAGAGAAAAAAGAACTAACGAAGAAAATAGACAAAGTATTGCTCAAGTATCTATACATAGATAGTCCCGATTAAGCATATAAATATTAATTACTAATTTTTTCTTTCTTTTCTTTCTCTCTTTCTCTCTCATTTTTGTCAAGAAAAATATCGATAAAAATAAATATTCAAATTCGATTGATCGTCCATCCGAATGGAATTAATAAAAATTCAATATTAAACAAATTATTATTTACGTCATTTATACTAATGTAATATTGATATAAGCGACGATATAAAAAAAAAAAAAAAAAAAAAAAAAAAAAAAAAAAAAAAAAAAAAAAAAAGAGAAAAACTTTCATAAGGATAAATATCTAATAGTCTTATGCACCGAAAATACATTTCGAATGCAATTGATAAAAATTCGATTAGAATGAACGACAATTTCAAATATAAACGAATATTTATGCAATTAAGTATCTATACTTGGAATATCTCGATCGAGTATGGGTAATATATTCTCAAATAAATAAAAAAAAAAGAAAAAAAAGAAAAAAAAAAAAAGAGAAAAGGAAAATAAAGAAAGTTATTCAAATTTCGATGCATCCAACAATCGATTCATATTCGATTAATAGAAAATTCGAATGATTATATTTGACTATCGTGTTCTCGACGATATTCCATTAAAATGGGTCAACGTTTCGAATTTTTATTCGAGAATCGTCGGTCGTATTCTTTCAAATTGATTTCGAAGTGGTCAGTGACGTGTCAATGATGCTCCAAGTTGCGACGTTGTTACAAACTCGCGTGGCGAAATTAGCATACTGGTTATGGATATTTTCATGCGATCCTACCTCTCGTCCATCAGAAACGTGAGCGAACTCACGCTTCTCAACGGAGAGGAATATCATTTAGCTTCTCGATAAAAGGCGTTGTCACGCTACCAGCGAAAGATCGCGCTTTGCGTTTATATTAGGACCGAGGCTGACTGACTGACTGACTGACTAGTTAGCTAACTAGCTAGCAAGCAAGTAAGCAAGCAAAGCAAAGCAAAGCAAAGCAAAGCAAAGCAAAGCAAAGTAAGCGCATGGTCAAGGTAACGATAAGCGTTCGACCATGACAAGCGATTTTTTTTTCCTCTTCGTTTCCATTTTTCTCTCTTCCATCTTTTTCTCCTTCTCTTTTTCTTTACTTAATCGTAAACCGCAAAAAATATGACGTAATTCATTTCACACAAAATAATGTAATATTATTAATAAAATAAAGGCGAATAAATTAAAACTTAATGAAAATCGAGAAGGATAAATTCATGAAAATGTGATATGTCATAATGATAAGATTTTTTCTTTTTTCCTTTTTTCTTTTATTGTTTATTGTTTTTTTCCTTTCTTTCTTTCTTTCTTTCTTTCGTTTCATTATAAATTTCACGATCTTTACTTCGTACGACTAAGATACTTCTTGAAAACGAATTTCGATCGATGATCACATCTTTGTTTCAGGATAGAAGCCAGTTATTGCACGATCGATTTACGAGGACACTCTTTCACTGTACGAACGACGACCTACTTCTTCTTCGAGGTACTGGTTTCGATTCCTTCCTTACTCATGTCTGTACAGGTTTCGACCTGTCCTTCCTTCCATTCAGTTCTTCCATTCTTATATACTCGGTGTAACGTCCAAAGAAAAATCAGCATACGATAAAGGTATGTTATCTTTTATTATAAAAATTTCAATCTCGTCGTACGAAAAATAACGAAAAAATATGAACGATTTGGAATCGTACGTTTCTCTTTCTCCAAAAAAAAAAAAAGAAAAAAGAAAAAAAAGAAAAAAAGAGAAAAAAAACAAAAGAAAAGGAAAGAAAGAAAAAAAGAAAGAAACAAAGACACAAGAAGAAACGTATAATGATACTTCATAAATTTATTATCAAATTCGAGAATGATCGTTTTAGAAAAAACTGAGACGTTCCACCCTATATATATCTACTCGTACTACGTAGAAGATATCCCCAGTACCCCTTTTTTCAAATCCCACCTTTCTTTACATTCCCCTTTTTTAAGTTCGAATATTGGCCGCTCGTAAAAGTTCCATTCATTTAAACCAGCGGGTTGCCACTTGCTCGTTGCAGTTGCACTGCTGCCATTGAAGAGTTCAATGAAAAGGAAGAAATAAAAGTGTAAAAATGGAAATAAAAGTGAAAATAAAATAAAGGGAATAAAGAAAAAAAAAAAAAAAAAAAAAAGAGAGAGAGAGAGGAAATAAGATAAAATAAAAAAAAAAAAACAGAAAAAAGAAAAATCTTTCAATAACTGATTTCACCGTCGATCGTACACGAGAAAATGTTTACGACATGTAAAGAATAAAATCCTGGATAGAAGTCGATCGATTCTCCCGCCTGTTGCTTCTCTCATTGTGAAACGCAACATCCCTTGCACAATAATAAAGAATTGAGTGTGTATGTGTGTGTGTGTATATATATATATATATATACATATGTGTGTGTGTGTGTGGTGTATGGGCGCGTGCGCGCGCGTGTGATGAGAATCGTTCAAAGTACAGGTGCATCGTTGTCGATCAAAAGTCACATTATGAGCTAACGTTCGGTGATTCGAGACCGCGGTAAATCCCCGGCCTTGCCACTCACACCCATACCCATCGAAGAAACCACCCACGCAACTTAAAGCGTACGAGAGTCGAATAATGTGAGTACATCGTAGTACGTAGTACGTAGAGACGTTAGCATGCGGTTACGTAGACGACGGCACGCTCCGTGACGTAGAACACAATTTTATCTCGCGTTACTGACCCGTTTTTCTTAAACGGAGAAAATGAAATTGACATTTCATTATTATTATTATTATTATTTTTTTTTTCCCCTTCCTCTTCTTTCCCCCTCTCTCTCTCTCTCTCTCTCATTTTTTTCTTTCTTTTTTTTGTTTGTTTTTTTTTTCTTTCTGTTTTTATTCAACTACCACTAGACCGGTCTATCGGCTCTTATCTAAAATTTGCATGTCAACTCGCACGCTCCGCCGTGTAAAAAGATTCGCGTCCAAATATCTTATCGCGGCACGCGCGACAACCTCCGTTTATTTTAATTTTTCCCTTTTTCTTTTCCTATCTTTTCCTTTTCTTTTTCTTTTTTTTTTCTCTCTCTCTTTCTTCTTCTTAATCTTTCTTCTTTTCCAATTTATTACTTAGGTATTTGCGCACGTGGCAAAACGCGTTTCGTCGAAAGACGTAATCGATATAAATCGATTAAATTTATTCTATTACTCATAAATCATTTCAAGAATTATCGTCAAATTTTATCATGACGATTATCTAATGACACCAATGATCGACATCGAAATCGTATCAAAATTAAATCGCGAATGAGAAGTATTAATGACGGATCATTTAAGGGTAAGGCTTGTAAATATAATTTAAGGAAAAACAAAAAAAAACAAGAAAAAAAAAAAGAAAAACTAGACAAGTGATAACTAATTCATTTGAATCGAATAACTTATTTTATTGCCTATATAATTTTATTTATTTCTTCCTTTTTTTTTTTTTGGTTTGTTATTGTTGTTGTTGTTGTCGTTGTTTTTTTTTTTTTCTTTTCTTATCTTCTTTAACGTAAATAAACGTACGTTTAATTGATCGTTTATCTCAAACGCGTGCGTCAAGAACGTTGAAGGAATCGATCCGTTCCTCTTAGTAGGTATCGATTTACGCGTTAGCTATAATAGATCTGTTAAAAGGCCGATAAATTCTAATTCATCGTCTGTCGATGCTTGAAATAAGAGAGGAACGTAGAATGTTGAACCGTAGAAAGAGTGCGTTCGTACGAGAAACGAAGAGAATACCAAGCACGACGAGTCGACAGTAGAATTGTATGAATCAGTGCCGAGCAAGTGTAACGACCGAGTGACGTCAAGAGGAGGATTGCACAACGTAACACGCTGGTAATCCCAACCGTTAGCTCGATCAATTTCTCGATCCCTTCTCGTGCACGGGCGCACGCATACGGAAAGCGAGCTGAACGAGGACACGCATTCGTATCACGGAATTCGGTATTTTATCGATCCAGAGATCTCTTTCTTTAAGAAATCATCATGTAATCAAGGTCAATCAAAAGAAAAGAAGAAGAAAAGAAAAAAAAAAGAAAAAGAAATATCAATAATCGCAATATCGTTTGTTTCGAAAGATTAATTTTCTCTATTTTTTTTTTTCTTCTTTTTCCTTTTTTGGGGAGGGGGTGGTGGGGAGAGGGGGTAGGGGGAATTCATACGAAGGAGGAAAAAAATCGTAAAAAGTACGAGAAAATCCATGAGAATTATTCCCATTGATTTTCTAAGGAGATTATTTCATATTCGTTATTCGGTATTATAATAAATTTCGAAAGAAACTGGAAATAGAAAAGAAAAAAAATAGCGCCTATAATCATCCTTCGTATTTTTTTCCTTTTCAGAATGTATTTTCACAATTCGATCTTGCAATTCCGATCATGATGAAGGTAAAAAGCCAATCGACTCTGATAGATGGTACAAAGCGAATCAAAAGGGAATAACGAATCAACGGGGAATTCTTTCCCTTTAAAAAAAAAAAAAAAAAAAAAAGTTCCTTTGCTTTTTTTTTTTTTCTTTTTTTCTTTTCTCTTCTTTTCTTTTTTGTTTTTTTCCTTCGATTCTTGTTTTCCCCGGAAGAAACTCCATCGAACGAGAACGAGAATAAATCGTTCTGACGTCATTCTAATCTTCCAAGTCCATCATACACCGGTAATTAATAATAATGAAGATGCAACTTATTCGCCAAGTTCCGTTTTCGTGATTTAGCGTAAAAAAAAAAAAAAAAAAAAAAAGGACGTCTTAACTAAGTGTCCGAGGGGAAAAAAAATTTAATAGCAATAAGAAGGTTAATATGATCGAGTATTAGCTTATTAGAACGATTCGATTGTATCTATTGCGAAAAGAGAATCAATATGTCTAAGACGTTTATAGAAATTCAAAAATAAGATCGATATCGATCCATTTTTTTCTATTTACTTGATCGTATAGATCTATCTTAATTTTTTGTCATTTACTTTGTTAAAGTCTTTTTCTTTTTTTTTTTTTTTTTTTTTTTTTTTACACACATCACATCCGGATAACTTAACGACGCATCCTGTTAGGCGATGTAGAAACAAAAAAAAAAAAGAAAAGAAAAAAAAAGAAAAGAAAAAGAAAAAGGAAACATACATATAAATATTTTTTCTTCTTCTTTCTATCTCCATCACTTTCCGGACGAACGAATGTAACGGGCCATTTAAAAAAGGAGAAAAAGAAAAAGATATACTATCGTACAGGTTAAGATTTACGTAATAAGTATCCAACGTCAAGTCCACGAAAAAGTCCGTAGATCAAACTATTATAGTTAGAAGAATGTGCAATCACGGATAGAACACAATGTTTCCATTCTATTGATTCTACAGAAATCGGGGATATCTTCGATGTTTAATAAAGCAAATATCCGTAAGAGAGAGAGAAAGAGAGAAAGAGAGAGAGAGAGAGAGAGAGAGAGATAGAGGGAGAATTGCTAATTGTCTACACATTTCGTTATTACACATATACGTAATATATGTGACGCGATCATTCTAAGAAGATCTAAATACTTGTCAATGGAGAAACTCCAGACAGACTAAGTAATGTTTCTTTGGAAAATTTTGTCTATCTTGATAAAAGAACTTCACGATGACTTATAGAAAAATCTTTTGCACGAAGGCATGATATAAAAATAAAAACTATTTAGACATATCTCATGTGTATATAGATGTAATAGAACTGCGTAACATTTTTCTAAGGATAAATAAATCTATTACATCGCGTTACGTACGTAACTGAATATATGCAATATAGTTATATAGTTATCAATGAAAAATAATAGAAACGATCTCGGAAATATTCCACTTTCGACCTCGGTCATTTTTCCTATCTTTGATCATTCCTTATGACGTCTTAAGAATCTAATAATTTTCTCTTCGATTCCACAAATCTTCGAGGAAGTTTGGAAGATTTCGCGACGTATGATGTGTCACATTATCTCGATGGATAAAAGTTTCCTTTCAAAGAGAACGAAAGAGAACGAAAGAGAGAGAGAGAAAGAGAGAGAGAAATATGTATCTTACACATGTTTCACATGTTTGCGTAATTATTATATAAATTTTCCAATCTAACAATGGATTAACTCTCGATCTTCCTATTAACGGATCTATTTTTTTTAATAAACATTTTTTCCCCGTATTGGATGTATTCCATCATTACATCCCATCGTTTCGTTCTACGTATCCTATAATGATCTCATAAGAAGAAATTATCGCACTGTCATAAATTCGATCAATCGTTAGTTTAAAATTAAATAATTAAAAGTTTAGAAAATTTCTTCTCACTTTAACGAAATGTCACTTTTGTCCGTAGAAAAGTATAAAGCGAAAAGAAATTTTTTTTTGTCTTTTTCCTTTTTCTTTTTACACCATGATAATACAAAAAAAGAAAAGAAAAAAAAAACACGAAGTTACGTTTACACGTTGAATGGAAAAGGAAAAAAGAAAAAAAAAGAAAAAAAAAAGAAAGAAAGAAAGAAAGAAAGAAAGAAAGAAAGAAAGAAATGAAAAGTCTCGTTTCAGTATAAAAAAAAAATACACCTACAGACAGATATCGAGAACTATCTCGATTTAGTTGTTCTCGCAATTAATAAAAATCAACAAGTTATTTGGTCGTTATCGTTGATCTAAAATTAACTCAAGTCACGAGAAGATCTCATTCTTGGTTCGTAATGGTTGTTGTTACGTTTCCATTTTTCTCTCTCTCTCTCTCTTTCTCTTTCACACTCTCTCTCTTTTCCTCGATACTTTCATCGACGTCATTCGCTCGAACAAAAATAGCTTCTTCAACCTTTCGATGTGATTTACAGGTGTGATTAAAAACGAGAAAAAGAGAGAGAGAGAGAGAGAGAGAGAGAGAGAGAGAGAAGGATAGCACGTCAATTAACGACAACGAAGAGTGCGTCTTACCTTTTCTCACTTTTACAAATCTCTCTCTTTTTCTCTCTTTCTCTTTTTCTCGCCCTCTTTCGACAAATTTTATAGACGTCATTCATACCCCGGTTATCGTTCCTTCGAT